GTCCAAAACGTGGTCAACACAAACTATAATTTTAAGAGCATGACTGAGGACTCTGTGTCTGGTTGAAGAATATGAATTACGATACACCCAGAGGGTGGGGGAAAACCAGGGTCAAGGGTGACAATGAATGATGTGCCCCAGAGTCGGCTACAACCTGGCAGTGCAGCCATGTTTACTCCTAATAAATCTTCTTTTAAGTTTTGAAAATTCAGCTAGGGACTCATGATTTAAATGACGGTAACTACCAAAGCCCTGACACAGGCATCCCCGTGGCCGTCTTCTGTCGGCTTTCAAAGTCAAACAAACCCACGCGGCCCTCCCCCCTTATACATTCTCCAAGAGATGAGAAAATCTCTGGGCTTTCCGGCACTAGGATACAAGTTATAAAATAGCAGTTGCCACAGGCAATAGTAATGAATCGAATTCAAGAGCCCCCCCTTCTCCCAATTGAATGGCAGTATCACTTTAGGGATCTGACAGTTGCTCTGTGAGCTCAGCTCGTATCCTACGCCACGAGGCAAAGAGGTGAGGTGCGCATCTAACAGAAAACCGGATATGGGGTACTCCAACCTTCTGCCAAGGGATTTTCTTCCTTGCTTTTTCTTAGAATAGAATAGATTTTTTTATTGGTCAAGTGTGATTGGACACACAAGGTATTTGTCTTTGGTGCAAATGCTCTCAAGTGTACATAAAACAAAAGAGACATTTGTCAAGAATCATCGGGTTCAACACTTATAGGGTAGAATAAGCAATCAATTCTTCCTTGCCATCCTACTTTAAAGCAGGAGTCCCAAAGGTGCTTTCTTTTTCAAGAGGCAACTGGACTTCCTGGTTTTTCTCTGAAGACATTTTGCTTCTCATCCAAGAAGCTTCTTCAAGCTCTGACTGGATGGTCACTTCTCATGGTCGCATCTTCAAGGAAAACCAGACAGTTCAGTTGTCTCTTGAAAAAAAAATCACCTCTGGGACAAACAAGACCTGGATGACTGAGAATCTTCATAGACATTTAAAGCAGGTGGTTAAAAGGGGGAATATTGGCAATTCTAGAAGGCCTTGACTAATTTTACAAGGAAAAAAAAACTGAAAGCAGGATGCAGTGAGCCATCCCAGACCCCAAATTGTTGCCAGTTTAGTGAGGAAAAACTTGATAAATAGCTGCTGGAGAAGCAGAGAAAATACCCCAGGAAACACTTTTGCTACCACGCAGTAAAAAAAAAAATCAGTGACACTCCATTTGGGGTTAGATAAAATAACGCAGAATTTGTCACAGACGTCTGAAGAACCTAAGTAAAAGACAAATGAACCAAAAGACAAAAGACAGAAAAGAAGGAAAGCCAACTTGAACATACCCTTTTTGACTGTGTTGATCTCCAGAGGCTTCAACCCAAGTTTGGCTCGAAGTTTACTATCGAGAGAAAGAGAGAGGGGAAAAAAAAGCAACAAAATGCACGTAAATTTGTGTACATGTTGTTGAACCACGCAACAGGATCTCTGTGGGGTTCCTGGTGATTCCCGAGCTGGGTTGCTTTCTTGGAAACGTTCCATTTCCCAACTAGGTAACCCCATCAAGTGCTAGGAGGGAGTGGCATTTCATCTGTGAAGATCGAACAGTAAACAGTAGAACATAGGATTCGAGGGCTGGAAGGGACCCCAGAGGTCTTCTAGTCCAACCCCCTGCTCAAAGCACGAGACTTATACCACCCCAGTCAAATGGTTGTCCAAGCTAATTCTTGAAAGCCTCCAGTGATGGCGTACGCACAACTTCTGGATGGAAGCTGTTCCATTGATGGATTGTTCTCAGTGTCAGGAAATTTCTCCTGGGAAAGGTTGGATCTTCCTCTGATAAAGATTCCACCCTTTGCTTCTTGTCTTACTCTCAGGTGCTTCGGAGAATAAATCACGCCCTCCTTCTCTCTGAAAGCCCCTCAAAGACTGGAAGACGGCTATCGGGTTGCTCCGATCCTCCTCTTACCTTGACTAGACATACCAAGCTCCCTCAACCTTTCATCCTACGGTTTGGTCTCCAGTCCCTTTGTCGTCTTTCTTGCTCTTCTGAGAAACACGTTCTAGGTCTCAGCGTAGATTTTATAGCACGGTGACCTTGCCTGTGTGCAGTACCCCCCACCGAAGGAACTACTAACTCGGGCAAACAGCAAACAATCACTTAATCAAGCAACCACCAAGAACACTCTCACCAATAACTTGTATATAAGCAAATTCCCTCCCTTTTAACCCTGATGATGTTCCCTAGTTGGGTCATGAAACGTCTGCAAGAAACCACCAAGCTCAGAGGGCACCAAGGACCCCCATAGTCCTCCCCCTCTTCTCCTCTGCAGACCCTTCTAGCACGGATGATGTTCCCTAGTTGGGTCTGCAAGAAAACAGCCAGGTTCAGAGAGCACCAAGGAACCCCCCAAAGTCCTCCCCGCACCTATCAATTCCACCCACTTCTGGCACGGATGATGTTATCTACCTGGGTCAAGAAATGCCTGCAAGGAAACCATCAAGCTCAGAGAGCACCAAGGACCCCACAATTCCACCTTGAGCTGCGAATCTCCTCTTCTCCTGGAAGAGAATTTCTTCTAGATCTCAAGGTGACTAAAGGAGCTAGTCAGACTTTTTTATTTTTATTTTTGAATTAACAGATTTCTGTGGGAAAATCCAAGGCTATTCTTACGGCCTTTCAGGAAAAAATGGATCGAGCTTGGGGTGGGTGGGAAGTGTTTTTTGTTTCGCGACCGCTGCTTTTCCCAAGTGCACACAAGCAGCCTCTACCCCCTTCTCCTCTCTTCCTCTCATCGCCACCAACCTCATTCCAGGCCAGCCCATTCCTGAAGGCCGCCACGTGGATTTTCTGCAGCCTGATCCCTGCAAGCTTGCAGAGGATTAGCTACAAGAGGGCTGTGCGAGATATAAACCTGGGTGGAGTGCCAGTTTCCCAACGAATTTAATTCACTCACTTTGTCTCCTCAATGCTGAGGGAAGCGTCTCCTCCGGAGGAAGACTTGGAGCTAGCAGCTAGTTGGGGAAAGAAAACAGGGAGAGCAATTAGTCAGCACCCAGGAAACACTGTCAGTTGGGAACTATCTCATGGGGCTTTTTGCACCGCTTAATATCCAAACGGTCAGGTTTCAGGTCTTTGGGGAGTTTTGAGAATGGTTGAGTCGGAAGAGAAACACAAAATGTTTCGTTGGCACCTCAGATACAGCCACCAGGGAAATCGTTCTGAAACAGGTGTCCCACCTGAGGACTCACAATGCAATTTGAATATTCAGTTTTAAAGGCTACGAATATTCTCCCTTCAGCACCCTCTTCCGCAGTTTAATTTATTTATTATCAATTCAGCACGGATTCCCTCAAATCCACTTCTGCTGTCAATTGAGATCTTGCAGTATATGCTGGAATTTTCGCAGCACTGAATGCTTTAAGCTGACAAAGGCAAACTTGGGAATGAAAACAGGGCCCTCCCAAAAACCAGGGGCGGGGTGGGGGGTGGGGGCTTTACAACCCGTGGACATGTCTGGCTTGGGAATTCTGGGAGTTGAAGTCCACTAGTCAGTCGTAAAGGGGCCATAGCTGCCCACCCCGAGGGACATACTTTTCTTCCTTTGAGCACAGATTCACCATCAGGACTTAAAACCACGTTCCCATTATAGGATTTGGCTCATGGGAGATGATGAATATTTGTCGTCATCATTTTTAATGCAAAAACATATTTTTTTTTTCAGAATTAGAATACGATGAGCTGGAAGGGACCTTGGAGGTCATCTAGTCCAGGGGTCGCCAACCTTTTGGACTTCAGGGACCACCAAACTCATAATGTTAAATCCCGCAGACCACTAATATGAATTTTGAGTGATGGTGGCTTGCTGACGTTGGTGCCTGCAGAGACCGTGGGAAAATCCCCACAAAAGTCTGCAGGAAAATTCCCCCACCCCGTTTTCCTACCGATCGATCATTCTTTATTTGGGATCGCAGGATAACGTCTCCAGCTCCGTTCTCGGGGGGAGAGAGGAGAGACTTTGGGCTCCATGCAAGGAAAGCAGCAGAAGCTGCAGAAGTCTTTCTTTCTCTCCCCCAAACTCCGCCAGGAATGAGTCTTTGCCGGCGCAGCCTCTTGGAGCAGGAGGCCTTGCAGGGTCCCAAAGACTCATTTCTGGCAGAGTTTGGGTGAGAGAAAGAAAGACTTTTGCTGCTTTCCTTGTGTGCAGCCAAAAGCAGCAGAAGAAAGAAGCAGCCCGGTGGCCAGGCGAGGTGCGTGGGGTGAGTGGGGCGAGTCCCCCCTCCCTGCCATTTCTCCCCCTCCCCTCACTACCTCATGTTGTTCACAATGCACGCAACACAAGCCTTGTGTTCCCGTGGGCCATGTGGGTGGAGCAGCCTTGTGTTCCCACGCAGCCTGGATTAATTGCTTTGGGGGGGGGGGACATTTCTCTGCGGAGCACCAAAATTTTCTCGCGGACCACCAGTGGCCCCCGGGCCAACGGTTGGCAACCCCTGTTCTAGTCCAGACCCTTACTCAAGCAGGAGAATCTATACCATTTTAGGTAAGTGACTGACTGTAGTCCCTTCTTAAAAGCATCCAGTGTTGGAGCCACTATTTCTGGAGGCAATTTAATATAATATAGTATGTACCACAGAGACAAGTGCAGACAGTCCTCGACTTACGACCACAAATTAAGCCCCAAATTCCTGCTGGTAAGCAAAGTGAGTTCTCCCCATGTTGCGACCTTCCTTGCCACAGTGGTGAAGCGAATTAACTGCAGCTGTAAAGCTAGTGAAACGGCCATTAAGTGAATCCGGTTTCCCTGAGTTGTCAGAAGGTCGCAGAAGGGAATCGCGTCACCCCAGGACCCTGCAGCCATCGTAAGTACATGCCAGTTGCCAAGCGTCCAAATTCTGATCACGTGACCATGGGGATGCTGCAACCGTCTTGTGAAAAACGCTCATAAATCACCCTTTTTTCAAAATTCCTGTTGTAACTTTGAACAGTCCCTAAATGAACTGTTGTAAATTGAAGATTATGTGTTAACGTCCTGGAATATTTACAGATCATCATCATGTTGAGCTCCAGATCAGAGGTCCCCAAACTTGACAACTTTAAGACTTGTGGAATTCAACTCCCACAATTCTCCAGCGGTGTTGAAGTCCACAAGTCTTGAAGTTGCTAAGATTAGGGACCCCTGCTCCAGATTAAGCTGCCTTTAGAAGAACGGTTGCAGGAACTGGGCCTGGCTAGTCTAGGGAAGAGAAGGACCAGGGGAGACAGGAGAGCAGCCTTCCAGTATTTGAGGGGCTGTCAGAGAGAGGAGGAGGAAGGGGGTCAAGCTGTTCTCCAAGGCCAGACAAGGAAGAATAGATGGAAACTGATCAAGGGGAGATTCAGCCTGGAAGTAAGGAGGAATTTCCTGACAGGGAGAACAATCAACCCCAGGAACAGAAGTTGTGGGAGCTTCATCACTAGAAGCTTTCAAGAAGTGCCAGGCACTTACATCCTGGTCAATAATTCATGAGCATCAGCACCTTGAAAAGTGAGGCTTCAGCAAGTAGTTGGAGAAAGACGACTCGGCTGCTTTCAATGGGAATGAGGATTGATTTGCACACATAAATCAAGCTTGGAAAGCTTGCAACTCAATCTGTGGTGGGAACTCAAACCCGTCCTTGGAGAGTAAATTGGGCAATTCAGGCCTTGCATAATACGGGAATGAACTGATGCTGCAGGGCTAACCCAAGTTTAAGATTAAGCCTCTGGTGTGAACTGGGACCCGAAGGAAATACAGGAAGTATTTACATTCATACAGGACTCACAACTGCAATTGAGCCCAAAATTTCTGCTGCTAAACGGAACATTTGTGAAATAAACTCCTCATCCCCTTTCATGACGGTTCTTGGCCGCAGTTGCTGAGTGAATGCCTGCAGCCGTTAGGTTAGTAACGTTAGTAACCCGGTTGTTAAGTGAATCTGGCTTCCCCATCGAGTTTGCTGATACCGCAACTGTCATAAGTATGAGTCAGTTGCCAAAGGTCTGAATTTTGATCTCAAGACCCTGGGGATGCTGCAATGGTCATTAAGTGTGGGAAAACGGTCATAACTCACTTTTCTCACTTGTTGTAGCTTGGAACGGCCACTAAATGAACAGCTGTAAGTTGAGGATTACCTGTACACTCTGGGATGATCAATGGTGATTTATACACTAAACCAATTTATATGGCCACCCAATTCACGCATGATGACTCTAAGCAGTGTACAACAATAAAAAGCCACACTTAACCCCCACATCCAAACTCAACTGCCTCTTCTACCCAATAGTGGCAACATTTACAGTCAAGCAAGCCAGTTGATCGGCTCTGTATCGATCGTGTGTGTGTGTATCTGTGTGTAAGCCTGCTGATAGAGCCCGGTCTTCAGGTGGTGGTTACTCTAGTGAAAAGAAGGACTGGAGGGTAACATGATAGTAGCGTATTGTCGCATTGTATTGTAGATAGTAGTATTTGAGGGGCTGCCACAGAGAGGAAGGGGGGGGGGGGGTCAAGCTATTTTCCAAAGCCCCTGAAGGCCAGACAAGAAATAATGGGTGGAAACTGAACAAGGAGAGATTCAACCTGGAAATAAGGAGGAATTTCCTGACAGGGAGAACCATCAACCCATGGAACAGAAGTTGCCTTCGGAAGTTGTGGGAGCTTCATTACTGGAGGCTTTTAAGGGGAGACCGGACTGTGCCACCTGTCAGAAATGATGTAGGTTCTCCTGCTTGGGGGGGGTTGGACTAGATGACCTACAAGGTCCCTTCCGTTAATCTAATCTAATGCACATCTCTGGGGGAGTGATGGGCCACAGGGAGGAAGCCATTGCCAAGGCCCTTTTTCTTGTCCTACCAGATGTGTCTCCTTAACAGATGAGACCCGCAATACATCCTGCCTTCCACGCTCGAGGAGAGGCGGTTTGTCAAGTAACCTGGCCTCAAGCCACTTAAGGGCTTCAAAAGGGGTCATCAGCACCTTGCGTTGTACCAGAAGCAAACTGGCAACCAATGCAGCTCCCTCAAAAGGAGTGACAAATGTGCCAGTTTGGATTGGCCCAAAGCTATTGCAGGATGCTGCAGTTTGAGCGAGCTGAAGCTCCGGGATACTCTTCAAGGGCAGCCCCAGGTAGAGCACATTATAATAGTCCAAACAAGAGATCAGGAGAATGGCCTCTTGGCCCAGCTAAGTGTTACAGCTAAAGCACTTTCACTTACACAGTACACCAAGAGCTTTCTCCATGCCTCCTATGCATTTTTTCGAGTCAGCCTATCCTATCCTATCCTCTCCTATCTTTCTTATCTATCTTATCTATCTTGTCTGTCTGTCTGTCTGTCTGTCTCTCTATTTAGATAAAGAGAAGATAGATAATAAAAGAGATGATAGATATAATGAAAGAGAAGATAGATAATAAAAGATTAGATAATCTATTATCTATCTTCTCTTTCATTATCTATCTAATCTATCATCTTCTCTTTCATTATCTATCTAATCTATCATCTTCTCTTTCATTATCTATCTATCTATCTATCTATCTATCTATCTATCTATCTATCTATCTATCTGAATTTATATTGCCGCCTATTCACCCCGTGACTCAAGGTGGCTCACAGAATGTAAAACCATATTTAAAATAAAAACTAACCCAAAGGGTCAAATAAATTAATAAAGTACAATAGAATAAAATCTGGAAAGTAAGTAAATAAATCACCCCCAACTCCCACCCACCCCCTCTGCCCCGACGACAGCAGATCCCACAAGATCCCTTTGATGGGTTCCCCCGGCCCGCTGGCAGAACCAGGTCTTCAGCGCCTACCGGAAGAGCGTCAGAGCGGGGGGCCAGTCTAATCTCTTCACTTAAAACCATTGCAGCATCTCCACGGTCAGGTGATCAAAATCCAGCCATTTGGCAGCTGACTCGTATTTATGACGGCTGTAGTGACGGGGTATTGAGATTCCCTTTGGCGACCTCATGACAAGCAAAGCCAATGAAGAAACCAGATTCACTTAATAGCCATATTGTCAACTTAACGACTGCAGTGATTCACTTTGGCAACTGTAGCCAGAAAGGTTGCAAAATGGAGCAAAATTCACTTAACAACTGCCTCGGTTAACAACAGATTTGGGGCTCACTTTTGGCCATTTATGCAGACATAGGTAATCCTCAAGTTACAACTGTTGAAAGTTGCACATGCGCTGAAAAATGACAACTTACAACCTGTCCTCATAGTTGCAACCTTTGTAGTGTCCCTACGGTCATGTGATCAAATCCGGGCACTTGGCAACTGACTCATACTTATGACCGTTGCAGAGACCCCCGGGGTCCTGTGATTTCTTTCCCCTTTTGCAACCCTCTGACAAGCAAAGTCAAGGGGAGAGCCAGGTTCACTTAACGACCAGGTTCCTGACATATCAACAGCAATTCACTTAACAACAGTGGCCGGAAAGGTCGTAAAACGGGCAAAGCTCGCTTAACAACTGTCTCACTTAACAGTCCGAACGTTGGACTCAGTTGGGGTCCTAAGCCGAGGACTCCTTGCCCCTTCACGCCACCCCTGCGAGGTAGGACGCTGAGGCGGCCCCTTCCCCCCCCCCGTCGCACCTGCGGCCTGGGCGCCCTCGTGAGTCTCGTCCCGCTTCTCCCTCTGGCTCCGCCGCCCCGTCTCGCCGTCCTGCCCGGCGACGGCGCTGCTGCGGCTGCCCCGGGCGGAGAAAGAGGCCTCATCGCCGCCGCCGCCGCCCCGCCGCCCGCTCCGTTCGCCCCGGCTCCGGCTCCGCTTGCTCCGCCGCTCGCTGCCGCCTCCGCCGCCCGCGCGGTGCTTGTGCTTCTTGTGCTCGCGGTGGCGGGACGAGGAGGAGGAGGAGGAGGAGGCGGCGCCGGCCGCCGAGGAAGAGGAGGCCGCGGGCGGCGCGGTGTCCTCGGAGGCCTCGCTGCGGTCGCGGTGCCGCTTGGAGGAGCCCATCGCGAGAAAATGGCGGCTCTCCCCCCCCCCATCCAACTCGGAGGCCGCGCAGAACGGCACTTCTTCGCAGCCGGCGGTCCACTTCCGGGGCAAGTCTCACATCCGGTCCGTGCGGAAAACCGTCCGCCGGCGCTCTTGATCTCCAGCAATGGGTTCCTAGGCAAGGTTTGGTTCCTCCTTTTGCTGCTTGTAGTCTCCGCTGAGCGCTTTAGGGGCAGGCGGGAGGATTTCATTCCCGCTTTAGGAAAGGATGAGATATTAGTCTAATTTCTCCTCTATTTTCTGTGTTGTTTCTCTGTGTCATATAATATATGTGGGTATATACATAATTTTGTATTTATGTATTTATCTTGTCATGTTTATGTAGTGTAATATTAGAGGTAGTGACCCTTTAAGAGCTGTATGCAACAAAATTTCATTTTTAATATATGCCAGTGTACATTCAAAGTGACAATAAAGCCTATTCTATTCTATTTTTTTCTATTCTATTCATTATTCTGTTCCATTCCAATATTCTATTCTCTATTCTATTCACATTGCCCTCTTTTCTCTGCATCCCTCTGAACGGAATATATTGAATTCCAACTCTATTCTATTTTTTACTCTGAATCGTAGACTCGCCAGTGTTTTTTCCAAACATGCCCGCTTTAAAACGAATGGACAGTTTTTGGAGATTTTGGAGGTTGATGTCCATAGATCTTAAAAGTTGCTAAAGTTAGGAAAACACTGAGGTAGAGGCAAATGGGCTGCATTCATATAACATGATAATCTGCAAAAAACACAATATCCTCAAGTCTCAGATTAACAAAGTTTAAGCATTGTCTGACATTGCATCTGCTAACCTTGTACCTGACACTGGTTAAAAGTGGTTTGTGAATGCAATCTTCATTATTTGATTTATTTCACTGGGAGCAAGCATGAACTAATTAGAATGTGAGAGTATATGGTTAATTGAACATTAATAGAAAATAATATTGAACTGTGGGAATGTTAGTAGTGTTAGAAGGAAGCGGGATTTGCAAAGGGAGAGGAGGACAACTTGATCAAGGACTTGGGGTCCTTGAGGCTCTCTGAACTTGATGGTTTCCTTGCAGATGTTTCAACTAGATACCAGAAATGCTTATAGGACACCAGTTTCTGCGCTCACCCAACACAGTGAATTAACTATCCATGGGCTGATTTCACACAACAGTTTATGTTAAAATGTGATTGATTAGTTGGTACCTCAGAATGCTGTTGAACTCAGCCATTGAAATTTATTTTGCAGGGATTTTTCACTGGATAGATACTATAAATTCCACACACTAATTCTCTAAGTGCTTTTCTGTAGCCTCTAAAATATGTCCAACTAAAGACACAGATGATCTTCAGTAATCTTATTACAGACTTTTTTTTTCCTTTCAGTGGTTAATAGGTCAAGTGCTTAAAAGGGATGAAGGAAAATAATTCCCCAGCCAGTCTTAGTGGCCATTGGATATCCCTGTACTGGAGGTTTGTTTTTATGTAATAGACCAGGGGTCCCCAAACTGGGCCACTTTAAGACTTGTGGACTTCAACTCCCAGAATTCTCCAGCCAGCAGAGTTTTAAGTCCACAAGTCTTAAAAGTGGCCCAGTTTGGGGACCTTTGGTTTAAGGCAATGTTTCTCATATCCTGAAAAAAAATGTGTTTTCTGCAAGACACCGGAAGATTCTCTGTTAATGTTTTTGCATGCAACATCTGGTAAGGATTCCAGTCACTTAATGAGGGGCACTCCTGCCCTTAAAGCCCCGCCCACTCCTCCAGAAAATAACGTCATCAGCTCCGCCCACGTGAGGAGATTCCAGGAACCCCAGCAGCGCTGCGGGGGGGGGGGATTGGCACGTAGCGCATGGGCGGGGCGGGGCTGCTTGTTTTGGGGCTGGTAGTCCAGGATGTTTATCTTGCACTCTGTCCACGCCCAGAGACACCTCTCCCAAAAACGAGGCGGGGACCCCTCCATTCACGTGGGGGGGGGGGACTCTCCCCTTTTGCCCCCTCCTCACTCAAGATGTCCGCCAAGGCATTCCAATAGCTGCGACGCCAAGCTCCTGCCCTTTCCCAAGATGGCCGCTGCTCGGCTCCATTAAGCCGCACCCCAACGTCGTCTTGCCCTTCCTGAACATGGCCGCCGCGGCGTTCCACGACCCACGACGCCCGCCCTTCCCCAACATGGCCGCCCGCTCGGGCGGCGCCTGCCCGGTTCCAGTCATAAAGATGGCGCTTCCCGTTTCGCCGCGCCCACGGGTTGGAACCCGGTCGGGAGGTTAGGGAGGCCCGGATGTCGTCTCTCTCTCTCCCTCTCTTTCCCTCTCTCTCTCCCACTCTCTCTCTCCAAGTAGGAGGCGCTGGTTGCCCGGATGTTCCTGTTGCTGCTGCGGCGGCGGCGGCGGCGCCCGTGGCCGGGTCGTCACCGGGGGGGCGCGGAGCGGCTGGGCCCAACATGGCTTCCCCGGCGGCCCTGAGGAGAAAGTGAGAGGGGGCGAGGCGCGCGGGCGGGCGGGGCGGGCGGAGGGTGGGAGGAGCCACAGGCCTAATTGGGGAGGGGGCGGCCGAGGAAGGGAGGGGCCGGCCCTGCCCCGTGGCCCTGGGGCAGGCAGGCATTCCCCGGGGGCGGCTGAGGGGAGGGGAGGGCCGGAGCCCCCACCCCAGGGGCTTGAGCGGCGGCGG